AACGGAATCGTGATATTGAGATTTTTGATGCTGGTTTTTAACTTTTTTAAACGTTTTGTTTAAGAAAAACTTGAATAACTGCTCCAAAACTTAACCGATATAGACTAATGAGGCATCAGTACAAAGGTATTCTCTCACCCTTTTTATTTATTTGCAAAAAAGCTCATTCACGTCCCCATCTTTTCTTTATCAAAGTACCAATACATCTTATTTCAACATAAAATGACACTCGTTTATCTTACCTTCCTCTTTCATACTTTGCATGAGCTTATTTTCAGAGAAATAAATAGGGTGAGAAAATACCTTTCCAATGGTACCTCATAAGTTTAACTTGGTAAAGTTTGGCTGAGTTATTCAAGTTTTACCTAAACCAGTTTTTGAAAAAAGTTCAAAAACAGCATGAAAAATCTCATTAATATTTTTATGCAAATTTTTGAAGCTTAAACTGCTTTGTCATCTGAGGTGATTGTTTTCAAAAAAACTCAATTTTTGGAGGTATTTTCAAATCGGTCCAGCTCACGTAAATCTTAATATTTTTCCGAGATATTTTGGTGAAAGTCTTAAAATATAATACATTTTATAATTCCAGTGGAAAAACGGTACTGATGTTTTTTATATGGGGAGTGATGCAGTCTAGTATACATACATCATTTTTGTTTTTATGTATTTTTTATAAAAAATATATTTCTTTGCACTTTTTAACTTTACCTTGTTAACTATCGCAATCAAAATTTAAATTAATATGAATCAGAAGCTAATTTTTACCAGGTTTTTACGATTTCGAATTCTTGTTTGTCCAGACATACCCCGCAATTCTGTGCTCTTGGCAAATAATCAAGCTTGACTATTTGTCAAAAATTTGCGCCTAAAACTGTGTCGCTAAGGTTTGTCTGTATTTGAATAAATTTTTTGTGCATTTTTAAAACACCTAAAATAAAATTTTTGCAGCATAGTTTTGGTCGTATGTAGTTCTTTTGACAAATAATGAAGCTTGACAATTTGTCAGGTGCATAGAATCCGGGGGTTAGAATATACAAAACTAGGCGTATAATTCCGCCATTGCATGGAACAAACAAAAGCCGCCGTTCCTGTTCGCAGCATGTGTATAACTACGGTGACCATCCGTTCTTTATTTTAAAGGACAATCCTTTATTTTAACCCCCTGTCCTTTATAATTTTTTTCAAAATAAAGGACGCCTTTTGTCCTTTATTTCTTAAGCTGTCCTTTAAATCAGCTCTACATTTTTCTGAGGTAAATTTTTAAACACAGAGTAAGAAAAATAAAAATAAAATAACCCCACTTAAGGATTTTTATTTAATAGGTAATCTTTGCACATCTATAAAGCACAGGGAAAGTTGTGCCCAGGATCGTGTTGCACGCTGAGTTTCAAGTTCCACTGAAAGAGAACAATAAACCCCCTACTGCACTGGAGCCTTTATGTTTCACTTAATTTGATAATATTTTTTATGAAAGCTTATAATATTTGCAAGAGACCAGTTGAGCCTGATTTGTGAATTTTTATTTTATTGTTTTAATTATTTGTGCAAAATTCAGAAAAAGTGGCAATTTTGAAGAAAATGTCTTCTCCTGTTCCAGTTAATAAATGGTACATAACAACGACTAGTTGAAAACAATTGTATGGTTCCCCAAAACATTTTCCACAAAAAATTTTCACCAAAATATTTTTTTTTTGTTTTAGTAAAAATTGGTTGAAAAATGAAGACTACGGTGAATTATGAACATTAAATTCCAATTTTGAACCACTGTGCACCGGCGTGCAGTATGAATTATGGTAAACGCATTTTGGCAGCAAAGGATGGCGAAGTCCTTGGAAAGGATTTGGCCTCATTTTTCGGAATCGGTTAATTGACTGGCAAATACCTGATTTAAACTACGATATGGATAAGGTACTTTAACATATAAGTTGTATGTACGTATTCCCAAATCATGTTGTAAAAACATGTAAAATTTTACCTACTCTCAGACTTCTAAATTTGAACGTATACTCGGTACAAGCAGATGGGATTAATGGCGCAATAAACAGGTGAAGTAATAAAATAGCTTTCTCGCTTTATTTTCTGACATTCGGCTACTTTATAGTCACATTTTATAGGCAAATTTTGAAATAAGGCAGTGTCAAAATCTCTCTTCTCACTCTAATATTACTTCACCTAGTATAATTCCATCATGGGTGCAGGTAATAACACCATACGCAGTAATTCCCATTACTTGGACATTAAAAAGCAGTTTCAGAAGTGAACTAGTATCATTTTATTATTATTCTCTTTTCTAAGCAGTTATAATGCCACCAGTGCAGGAGGGAAAGGGCGCAGGGCGGAGCGCGAACGCGCCAACGCGGACCGCCGCGACGCTGGGCACATTCAAAATTGTATACTTACCAGTGGCCTGCACGATTATGTTAGTATCGTACTATTTAGTACGTTTTCTCCGTTTAGCAACTTTGGTATTCCGCGTTCCGTTTCCTTTAGATCAATCTTCGAAATTTACGATTATACCTATTCTACATTTCGATCGTAGTTGCGTTGTTCCAAGTTGCAAATTTGTTGACGCAGAAGGTTTCGTTTGCTGTTTTCGTGGTTTTAAATAATAAAATTTTATAAAAAAAAATTAAGCAAAATATACTTTGCATGATTGTAAAAGTCATCATAAATGAATTTTCTCGATTTCTGTGTTTTCGCGAGCGTCGATACGGGCAATACGAAAAATTGGCTCAAATAATGGCAACCAAAGGGGATTGTTATTAAATAAGAAAAGTCGACATATTAATATTGCATTGGCTTTATTCAACAGGGTATTAATTTTCGCTTGCATTCTTTTATGCGTAGCGTGCACTTTATGCCTTTTAGTGTATTCTTATAGCCAAATAATTTGGCATGTGTCAAGTTACATATAAGACACTGTTGATTAATGCACGCAAATGAAAGTAGACGCAAAATGTGGAATATGCTTATGTCAACAAAAACGTGGGAATAAAGCATTTGAATTAATTATGCTTATGTAAACCAAAACGTGGGAATAAAGCCTTTACAATAATTTTGCTTACGATCCAAAGTTTTTATGCCCTTATTATTTAGATACGTAAGCATTTAGTTTGTATAAAAACGTAATCATTAATTCAATAAAGATCACTTGAAAGCAATCAAGCAAACAACAGTGTTCGAACTTGGCGTAATCGCTATTATTCTGAACAAAGCTGGTGACCCCTGTGAAAGGACATTCAGCTTAAACAAGGCCAGTGCAGCAGTTTAAGGAGCCACAAAACTAATCTAAAAGAAGAAAAATGGATCGTTTCGAGGATTTGGCCAGACAACAAAGCGAAACGGGCGGCAATATCGAATCAATTGTCCGAGACTTTAAAAAGGACCCGCAATCCAGGAAGCAATCAATCAGCTATTACGAAGAGCGATTGAGAAGACTGGACAGCGAGTGGTCGAAGTTTGAAACAACTGACAACAAACTTCGACTGCTTGAAAACCCCCAGCTGGATCACGACTACTTTACAAAGGACTACTATAGCAATATAATGGAAATTGTAAATCAGTACAAGGAGAGTTTCGAGTCCGCAGTGCTCCAATTGGCTCAAACCCGGACGAGAGAATTGCGCTTAACAACTAATGAAGGAAGTACGTACCAACATGATGCTTCAGCTTCAGAAGTCAACACAGAAGCACGGCATGATACTGGAACCAAACAGGCAGCTTCCAACGAGTACACTAAACTAGTCCGCAGACAAGGGGTAATGATGGTCTCGTTGCGACGGTTACTGAACGACAACGTTTCACCACAATGAGTTCCAACAATTAATAAACTGTGGGAAAATATAGAAGACATTCACTTCAGGATATATGAGATGTTCGATAACCCAACCGAGCAGGGCTACAAGGTCGATAACTTCATTTCACTTGAGGAAAAGGTATGGAATACTTTGCAAGCAGCTAATAGTGACTCCCATACTGAGCAATCTTCAAACCAACTTCCGATTAAACTGCAATCCATTTCATTGCCGAAGATAATAATTCCAAAATTCGATGGCACCTATTTAAAATGGCAAGAATTTCATGACCTATTCTCGCAACTGGTAATAAATCAACCTCTTCCAAAAGTTCAGAAAATGTGGTACTTGAAAACTCACTTAGTGGGGGAGGCTGGAAATCTAATTAAACATTTCGCATCAACAGGAGAGAATTTTGATGCAGCTTGGTTCATGCTTCTGGAGCGTTACAACAACAAACGCTTGCTGGTGAGCAAGTTAGTACATGAGCTAACTACTACACCTGGAAGCACATCAATGGACAATGTCAAAAAACTGCATGACACAACACAAGAGTGTCTATTAGCATTGCAAAATTTGCAGATAGACACATCAACATGGGATCCACTTCTGCTCCCCCTTCTACTAAAGAAACTGGATCAACCGACTCGTTTGCGGTACGAACAATCATTATCAAAGCCACGGGAGGTACAAACACTCAAGGAATTCCTGCAATTTCTGGAGAAACACTTTCAATCCATGGAAGCGATGGGTGTCAAAGACAAATCTACAAGCTCAACTGCAAAGGTGTGCACTTCAGTCACATCCAAAGGTCATAGAAATGACACTTGTAGCATGTGCAAAAAAGGAAAACATCCATTATTTTCTTGCAAGGAATTTTTACAACAGTCTCCATCGGCACGCTTTCAGTTCATACAAGGGCAGAAATATTGCCACAATTGCCTAAAACCAGGACATGGTTCTAAAAATTGTATATTAAGAAACTGTCTGAAATGCAACAAAAAACACAACGCGCTGTTACATTTCGAGGATTTAAAAAGGGATGTGAGCAAAGACATTACATAAGTAGCCACTCCAACACAAGGCAACGAATCGCAAAGTACTACACCATCCAGGACCAAATCAACGCCATCAAAAGACGAAGCGGCGTCACTTACCACCGCAAAGCACACAAAGTCAAACACGTATGTACTACTCAGCACTGCCATGGTGAAAGTTAGAGGAATCGGAACAGAAGTGCAGTGTCGGGCAATTCTCGATTCCGGCTCACAAGTTAATTTTGTGACTGAACGATTGGTTAAACGTCTTGGCATCTCAACTAAATCATCATCAATCTCCATTAGTGGCATCGGGTCAAGGAGCACTAAGATACAGCATCGAGTCAATGTGGCGCTACAGTCTCGGATCAACAACTTTACAACGCGGCTAGAGGCAGCGGTATTGCCTCAGATTATATCCCCGCAGCCGTCGCAAGAAATCAAGATCGACGAATGGAAAATTCCTGAGAACATCATGTTAGCCGATCCATCATTCAATCGTCCCGACAAAATTGATATATTGTTGGGGGCGGAATTCTACAACCAACTGATGGCAGCAGGGCAAATCAAACTGTCAGATGACCTACCCATTCTGCAAAATACAGTGCTGGGATGGATCATCGCGGGAAAAGTTGGTGGCAACTACATCTCAAATGCAATATGTGGAATCTGTACCAACAATGACATCAACTTAGATGCAGCCATTGCTCGATTATGGGAACTTGAGGATGTTGCAACTTTAAGAAAATTACATTCCGTAGCAGAAAAACAGTGCGAAGCTCATTTCGCACAACATACACTCATCAATGAAAATGGGAGATTCATGGTAAGGCTACCATTTCATGAAAATCCGGAGGCCTTAGGGGAATCCGATGGGATGGCGTATAATCGATTCCTGGCCTTAGAACGTCGACTGGCAAAATCGCTCCAGACAAAGAATCAATATGTACAATTTATGGAGGAATATGAGAACTTGGGGCACATGATGCAAGTGGATATTGATTCCATCAGTAAACCTAGGTACTTCATTCCTCACCATTGCATTGTGAGACCCGAAAGCCGCACTACAAAATTACGTGTGGTGTTCGACGCATCAGCAAAATCGTCCACTGGCATGTCTTTGAATGACCTCATGTATACCGGACCCACTGTTCAGAGCGATCTTTTCACCATTTTACTTCGCTTCCGTTTGCCCAGGTTCGTCTTCACCACAGATGTAGAAAAAATTTATCGACAGATGCTCATTCAACCGGACGAACGCAAATTCCAACTTATCATCTGGCGAAGGAATTCAAGCCTACCAATAAAGCATTATCAGCTAAATACAATCACATATGGGACAAGATCTGCTCCATATTTAGCCACCAAATGTTTGGAGAAAATTGCAAAAGAAAATGCATTACATTATTCTCTTGGTGCTCAGTTTCTGCAGGACAATTTTTATGTAGATGACGGAATCGGTGGGTCAGACAGCTTAACCACGACGATGGAAATCCAACAGCAACTGATACACATCTTAAAACAACGTGGTCTTAACCTAAGAAAATGGTGCACCAATCACTCACAATTACTGCAAAATGTTAGCAGGGAGGTACAAGAAGTTGACGTAGACTTTGACAATGACATCAATCAAACTATTAAAACGTTGGGGTTAACATGGATGCCTAAGATGGATAGATTCTGCGTAAAGGTATGCCTAGGAAGCTGCAGTCTTGCAACTAAACGCTCAGTCAGCGCCGAACTTGCAAGGCTATTCGATCCGTTGGGGATACTAGCACCAATTGTAGTCATGGCAAAAATGTTTATTCAAGATCTCTGGCAACTGAAGCTGACATGGGATGAAGCATTACCAGCCGATTTGAATGAGAGATGGACAACATTTCGAAATGATTTGCAAAAATTGGACAACATACAAGTTTCACGGCACGTGTTTGAAGGATACATCCCAGCAAAAATTCAAATTCATGTCTTCTCCGACGCATCAGAAAAGGCATATGGTGCTACGATTTACATTAGATCCGAGCTGGATGAGGGACGAGTACAAGTGAGGCTGCTCTGTGCAAAATCTCGTGTGGCACCCTTGAAACGGCAAACTATTCCTCGGCTTGAGCTCTGTGCATCAGTACTGGGTGCTCAACTAACTACAAGGGTAAAAATCAGACCTTAAGCTAGACGATGTGGCTACTTACTTTTGGACTGATTCACAAATCGTGTTGGCATGGATTAACTCATCCTCAGCATCATACCAAACATTTGTGGCAAACCGTATAGCTTTTATTCATGAGCACACTAACGCTGAACAATGGCGGCATATAAGCTCAAAAGGCAACCCAGCTGACATTCTATCACGAGGACTGCCGCCGGGGAGACTAGAAACCTGCAATATGTGGTTTTATGGGCCAACAATCTTGCTTGGTAAAGAAGACACTTGGCCTTCAAAGTATTCCAAGGCATTATCAGTAATCGACGAAGGTATCAACATGGAACGGAAAGGGGTGACATCAGTCGCTGTTGCAACCACTGGACATGAAGGAAGCGTACTTTATAGCATTCGACACAATGGCTCTTTCAAAACATTACAAAGAGTGACAGGCTACATGCTGAGATTTATCAACCAGGCCAGAAACCAATCGTGGGAGTCAGACATTCCCTTGACCGTACACGAATTGGAAAAAGCGCTTATGGTAATCGTTCGTACAATGCAGCAATCGGACTTTGAGGAAGAGCTTCAGCACCTTAAAAAATACAACGAAGTTCGCAAAAAAAGTTCTTTCCGCAGCCTGTCACCGTTTCTGGACAATAATGGTATCATCCGAGTTGGAGGGCGTCTACAAGCATCAGAACTTGCATACGATGCCAAACACCCTATGCTAATTCCACATAACAATTAACTCGCCAAATTATTAGTACAAATGATCCATAAAGAAAACCGTCATTGTGGACCTCAAGCGCTTTTAGCTTACACAAGGCAAAGATTTTGGCCTATAAAGGGAAAATTGCTGACACGATCAATTGTGCTCAACTGCGTAAGATGCACCAAGGCTAAGCCAAAACTAATGAGTCAAATTATGGGGAACTTGCCTTCAACAAGAGTAACTCCAGCAAGACCATTCATCAACTCAGGCGTGGACTTCTGCGGGCCATTTTGGGTTCACTTCAAGATAAGGGGAAAGAAACCACAAAAGGCCTATGTAGCGGTATTTTGCTGTTTTGCCACAAAGGCAGTGCATTTGCAATTAGTCAGCGACTTAACGACGGATGCGTTTATTGGTGCCTTAAAACGATTTATAAGCCGAAGAGGACATTGTCAAAATTTATATTGTGACAACGCAACCAATTTTGTAGGCGCGAAAAACCAGCTTTCTGAACTTACTGACGTTGTTTATGGAAATTCATCACGAGAATCAATAGTAAAGCAGTGCAGCGGAAAAGGAATAACATTTCATTTTATACCTCCTAGGACTCCACATTTTGGCGGTTTATGGGAAGCAGCGGTAAAATCAGCTAAGCATCTACGACAGCGTCCTTAACGTATGAAGAATTGGACACGGTAATCATCGAGGTGGAAGGAATCCTAAATTCCAGACCAATCAGCCCAATGTCCGACAATCCTAACGATCTAACAGCTTTAACTCCAGGCCACTTCCTCATAGGAGAACCCCTTAATGCCCAAGTTGATCCAACGTCTAGGCCACAGCAAACAAATTTATTAACAAGATGGAAACTTGTTTCTCACCTCAAACGCGAGTTTTGGAATCGGTGGTCCCGCGAATATTTATCGGACCTTCAGCTGCGAAATAAGTGGAAGGCACAACACAACAACATTAACGTAGGTGACATGGTGATCATCAAAGATGACAACACACCGGTACTGCAGTGGCCATTAGGAAGAATCATCAATGTATATGAAGGAAACGACGGTGTAGTGAGAGTGGCTGATGTAAAAACTGCTAGTGGCACTTGCAAGAGGCCTATTCATCGGCTTGCACCCTTGCCCAAGGAAACAAATGATGCTACAGAACGACAATCAACCAACAAACTGCTTGAGGAAGACAAAATTCCATCAAGGAGGAATAATCCTTCGTTACACCAAGGACTTGCTACACTTCTGATTACCCTACTCATCTTACCACTGGCTTTAGGAGCTGAACCATCAACATTTTGAAGCAGGATCAAAAAGCGGGCAAGAGGACATCATTGATCAACAAGTGAGTCAAATAGTCCAGAGGATCAGCAACGACACGCATGAGATATACCAAGAAAAATTATTTCGAATCTTTTCCTCGTTATCCATCCAACTCACACTTATGGCAGCCAATTTGCAAAGAATGCAATCTGCATTATTAGCCGTTCTAATATATACTCATCACGGAAAAATATGTCCTCTTCTGCTGACGCCCAGTCAATTGCAAGACGAAGTAAACAAAATTAAACTTCACTTATCAGCACCATTGGAACTGCCTGTAAACCAAGAAGATTTACTCCAGCTATACCAACTCATGACGGTTAAGGGAGGACTTACAGAAAAGCATGTTGTATTCAGCATCACATTGCCTCTGGTAGAGCATGATCGATTCAATCAATATTCAATCTGCTTCCAATTCCTAATGGACTAATGGGACTATGATTGAAATAAGTCCGTGTGCTGCAGTTTTGGCAATAAACACAGCTCTCGGTCAATATTTCCCGCTGAGCATCTCCAAATTTCAATCTTGTGTGGATATTAAAAATGGAAATTACATCTGTTCTAAAATTCAAATTCACAAGCACATCGTTTCCGCTCCCAGTTTTGTAAAAAAGTCCACCTTTCATATTGAAATCATTATACGGACGGCTTTTTAGGATTTCAACAACTGCTTCAATCTGCGCGTCGCTCTGTTGCGCTTTCAGCAGGCGAGCGGATACCTCAGATAAAACATGCAACATAGATTGTGGATATCGACTGAGGCAATCCACATGTTTTAATTTGTCGCCTGCTCTATGCTCGACTTCAGAGTCGAAATCCTGAAAATATAGTACCCACTCTGACACTTCACGCTGAACCTCGCTTTTGGAAGTCGCTTAAACGCTTAGCAGTCAGTGACTAATTTAAATCGCATACCTAGAAGAAAATGTCTAAACTTTGTAACTCTAAATATGCAGCTTTTACTTCCAATACATAGCTATGTTTTCGAGATTCTTGCGGGGTCGTTTTTTTTTTGCTCCAGAAGTAAACTGGGTGTAACTCCCCGTCGAAAATTTGCAAGAGTGCAGCACCGAAACCTTGCTTTGATGCATCGGTATGCACTTCCGTTGGCGCATTATTGGAAAATATTTTCAAAACTGCTTCTTGAGACAGCGCATCCTTCAATTGCTGTATAGACGCTAATTCAGCTGCTTCCATCTGGAATTGTGCATCCTTCCGCAACAGGTTGGTTAATGGTCTTGAAATTAGGGCGTATCCTTGATAAATTTTCTAAAAAACCCTGTCAGACCCAAAAATGACTGAACGGCTTTTGTATTCGTCGGTGTTGGAAATTTCTTTACCGACTCAGTCTTTTCTCTGCCTGGCCAAACGCTGCCGTTCTCGATAGTATGACCCAAGAAATTAATCTTCGTTTGCAAAAATCGACATTTCTCCCACCTGATTTTCACACCATTTTTCGAGGCTATGTCGAGCACCAACTTCAGCTTTGCAATACATTCCTCATACGTTACAGCGAAAATAATGATATCGTCCATGTATAGTTCCATTACGTTCCGGTTAATTAAATCGCGAAAAACATGATTTACCAATCTGAGGAACGCAGCGGGCGAGTTGCAGAAACCAAACTGCGCTCGATGGAATTCAAACAGGCCTTATTTCGTTATAAAAGCAGTGATTTTTTGCTTGCTTCCTCTATGGGGACATGGAAAAACCCATTTTCCAAGTCCATCGTCGTGAAAACCTTGGCTGCCTGTAATTTCTCCAAAACCTCTTCTATAACTGGAGCCGGATAACAGTCATTCAACACCATGCGATTTAGCACTCTAAATCAATACAAACTCGATAGGTGCCATTTTTTTTCCTAACAACAACAACTCTACTTGCATCGTTGGATGAAGACTTGCGCACTATGCAATGGTGTAGCCACTCGTCCACTTGTTTTTTCACTGCCTCTGACTCAATATGTGGAAGCCGGCTGGGTTGTTGTCGAAAAGGTCGTATTTGCCCGTCTGGAACGATTTTTGACTCTACTTCGCTGGTCACTGACTCTTCACATGGCTTATAGTTAGTTGCGAATAAGTTTCTCGACTTCTTGTCTATACTGCGGCGGAGCATTTATATCTATGTCCTTCTCAATTATATTATACACTTTCAGCCGCATCTTTTCATAGTCCTCTTCTTCCGCTTCTAACTTTCTAAATGTAAAGCCATTTCTATCTAATGTCACGACAAACTTTTTGGTAAAATCATAACCGAGTAGCGCATCACATTTCATTTTGTTATCCGTCACAACCAGAAATTTGTGTTTTGTTTGCAAATTGTCTACACTGACATCGCCTATAAATTGTCCTATTGGGTACGTTATTACATCACCAAGCCCACAAAGGTTTGTATGGGTTTTTCGCATTTCAACGACATTTGGCTTTTTCAGTATGCTATGTTTTATAATTGTTACATCTGATCCCGTATCGACCAAGCAAGAAACGACTATGTTGTTTAGTTTTATGTCCTTTACGCGGCTACAGTCGACAACAATACGCACGTTTTTCGATACTTGTGGGCAATTTTTTGATATGTGTCCTGTTTCATTGCATTTAAATCACTCGGTATCCGCACGATAATTTTTTCGAAGGTGATCTGCTGACCCACAATTGAAATAATGGTTTGTTTTGTTATTAGCCATACTTTTTGTACCTTCACTGCTACTGTTGTTTATTTGTTTTGATGGCCGGTCCCTTTCGCACACATTGTCGTAAACTTTGAATTTCTGTCGAAGTTCGGCATACGACTTACAGCCATACTTGTTGTACTTGTATTCGTTTTTTATTCCTAACCCATCAACCACGTACTTGATCACAGATTCGACCTCGACATTGCCGAAAGCTGCGATTCACTTCATGTGCAGCATATACTCATAAAAGCTTTCTTCTTTCCTCTTCTTTCTTTCACCTAGCTTTTTGTGAAGTTCTGCACTTGAATAT